CCATAGTCATCAGATGTCAGAAGAGCGCCTGTGAGATGTGATGGAATGAGAGATTTGCATCATAGATGTGAAGCTGACAAATCTGCAGCAACTGTGTGATGCTATCATGTCCATATGGACTAAAATCTCTGAGGAATGTTTCCAGTACCTGTAAGAATTAAGGCAGTCCTGGGGATGAAAGGCATATATAAAAAATGGAATAACGAAAATAATAAAATCACAACAGAATTTTAACCCAATTTTTGTGCAATAAAAAATTTGGTGAATCTGGTGGATGTTTGGGGTCCAGTTTTTAAAGCTGCCAATTAGACAGGTTGTCTACCACGATTTAAAAGTAAAAGTTCAAGTGAACACAGCCAGAATATCAGTAACCATTTATTACATAATGATGTTACATTGACATTACAGTCAGTTTCCTCGTTAATGGTACCTTTTTTTCCCCTCTAAATAACATTTCCTATAATGTGCATCCATTTAATATCTCACTGTCTTTGTTTCTCTGCTATCGAACAACACATCCAGATTGGAGAAACTGACATAACATTGTTATTACTGATAGCACTGAAGGCCAGAGCTGTGGAAATCATGTGCATGTTGTAATTTTGCTTCAAGTATCCAGAGACTAAAGAATTAACAGGGTGTCCTCATGGTGAGTTATGCTGTAATCCCCAAAGAGTCTTTATCCTCTGTGACTTTGTTGACTCATCTTGAGAATTGTACAAGTGACATTGTTGAGAGCTTTTAGCACTGAGAGAAGAAAAGTTTGTCCTACATTTCAAGGATATATTTCAAGGAGTTTTGTTGATTTATTTTATGACTTTATAGGTCATTTATTTGCTAATTTACGCCTTTGCTTGTTCATTCTCCCTCGTGCTTTGGGTTTCCCTCAGTGTCTAGCCTATATACGGTTTAACATGTAGTGCATATGGAACACCAGATGCAAGTGATTCTGTGATTATGTTAATGGGTTTATCCTGTTTTCTGTTTTTTAGCACTACGACAGATGAAACGTTTATGTATATCTGTGTGCGTGCGTGCGCCTACTTTAGGGCTGTACAGGGCTGTGATGACAAGGATGATGCATCCTATCCCCATTAGTGTTAGCCCAGATCTGTCAGAGCCTTGTTGGTTACTGCCTGGCAAAATCTCAACCCTGAGGAACAATTTGATGGGCCAAACACACACTCACATACACATACACATTTAGGAATGCGTTTTCCAAGATAAAACACACACACACACACACACACACACACACACACACACACACACACACAGCAGTCTTTTGAAAATCTTATCAGAACACAGTGTCAGTCTCACATGAAGACACCGAGCGTTACTGCGGTTTGTTGTACGCTTTTTCTCATAGGTTAGTTTTGATCACAGTCACACACATACAACCGTCATTTTGGCTGTCCCTTGTCTTACCTCTGTCAGAAAACAATAGGCAGCTCAGCCAGCTGACAAGTGTTTATTTCTGCTTTTCCACCAAGTCTCCTGGTGCTGCTGTGACCCGAGCACACTTAAAGACTGTTAACCGAGATAAGTTATTATGCAGCACAGGAGTCTGCTCATTATAATAGTGTTTGCCACAGTGGAGATCAATGGGAGGGAGTTGCGTGAATTGAGGCTGATTAATGCTACTGGAAGCAAAACGTGTTCATCATTCAACTAATTTCACTGCATGCACAATTTTTTCCTTCAAATCAAATCATTTCCTAACGGCAACTGTCTTTCCTCTGAGAAATGATTTATCACCTCGTAGATCTTCTTTGATGTGCATCTTCTTTTCATTTTATCTCGCTCAGTAACAACACTTTATTTAGTTGTTTCAGTACCTGCTGGGCTGTCCTTGCAGCGCTCCCTCAGCTGTAGCTAAATTCAAGGCTGTCCTACATTTTCCTTGTGTTGTGAAGCTGCTGTCGAGTGGGAGCTTTGACAAGAGATAACAGCCCTCTGTTCTCTCGTTTATGGACTTTTAATGTAGCTTCTAATTAATATCTCTGTCATTAATTTACCATGACACATGGCCTCCCTCCACCCACCCACCCAACCAGCCAGCCAGTTAGCTTCAAGCCCCCAAGCTCCGTTTAGTCTCCAAGCACCGAACTGCTGGGAGTGGAGCTTTAGATGGGAGTGTACAATCAGAAAACCCACATTTAGTTTTACTGCCTTTCAGCATGAACTTATTTAATTCCTTTTTTTCCCCTTCATGTCTATCTCGTTCATTCTGTCTTTTCCCTCCTGTCTGCTATCCTTCTTGGATCAGAGTTTGGTACATTTAGGGTAACATCAATAAATGCACTTTAGTTGGCTACAAAACTGCTGTTCTCATTTCTCTGTGATGGGTGTTGATAAA